CAATTATTTCATATGTCTGGCTTTACAGAGTTAAACAAACTAGCCTGGGGGGATTAATTAATGTAAAATCTAATAAAGATCATATGGGAAAATTCTGAATGTTATAATACTATTACTGTCATCTCTCAGTAGCACAATCTGCAGACTCTGCCAGCATAATCTAACATGGTTATGACCTACTTTCGAGCATGTTCAGCTGACCAGTGCAGTATGGCTAAACCTTTGAGTGGATAACATAACAGCGTTGGTTGTTTAGTGTGTACAGAGCAAAACAGACTGATTTGAACGTATTATAATAATACAAAATAATCATTTGTTACATTTGCACTTTTCTTAGCATTCAAAGCGGTTTATTGAAGGGGGGGGGGGGGGGGGGGGGGGGGGGGATCTCCTCAACCCCCATGTGGATGACATTGTGTTTAAAGTACTATTTGTTATATTTATTCAGGTCTGTTCATTTTTCATTTATGTTGAGTGTCATATTACCTGCTGCTCAAAGTGTTTCAGTAACTCTTAACCCTCTGGGGTCCTTCATTTCAGGGTCACACTCAGGGTCTTCGGGACCAAATGGTCCGGAAGGGTTTGATTCATATTTATTAAAAGAAAATCACATATATTTTTTTTTACTTGTTTTTTATAAAAAAAATTATTTTATTTTTTGGTGTTTTGAGAAAATTTTATGATTTATAATTAATATTTATGCAATAATTATGACCCATTTTTCCCCATTGAATATAATATAATTTTTTTATAAATATGTATTTTTTTTTTTTTTTTTTTTAAAGCTGTATTTCATTTTAGAGTCAAGCCTAGGCCTCATGAAAACAATTTTTGAAATGAGATGGATGCCATCTGCTGGACACACTGAGCATTTTTATCACGCAATAGCACATTTTTACCACTAGTGGATTTACAGCTCTCTGTAGAAAGGGTTCAAAATTCTTGTGAGTTTTGCACATCTTTGACAATGTTTTTCAGGTTGTTGATTTTAAAATATAATAACAGATTCTCAAAGACTATTTTTTGTCTTTTTTTTGTTTGTTTGTTTGGTTTAAATGGTAATTTGAACTGCCAGTTTTACTTTATAATACAGTCAAACCTGAACATTGCATTAGAAAGAGAACAAATGGAAAGCATTTTGTTACCCAATGTTTAATTCTAACTTAATTCTAACTTATTTGATTCATTGATTTGATTTCACATATTTTCACAATTCTCTGTTACAGTTTCACATTACCCTATGTCTGTTTGTGTGTGTGAGTTTGTCTATTTTACAACCTTGATGGCTTACAGACTCATGCTTTCATTGCTGTGCACTTTATGTCTTACATTGATGAATAATTGCTTTTATTTCAGACATTTCCCAAAATTAGCTTTCATTTGTGTGTGTGTGTGAGTGTGTGTGTGTATGTGTGTGTGTCTGTTTTGCACTCTTGATGTTTTAGAGATTCACCCCTTCACTGTTGAGTCCTTTTTTTCTGCATCCTGGCTGATTTGTAGATTGTATGCAAAAAAAAAAAACTGACAATTTCCCATTCATTTCCTATGGGGGTCATTTTTGACCAAAGAGCAGAAGTGTGACGACCACTTAGCATGCTTGGATCATGACCTCAGTATTTTTTGTTTGTTCACATACCTAATACCATAAAAGTCACCTAGTTTCGTAACATTCCGATGAAGCTGTGATTTTTAAAAATTCAAAACATATTTATGTAATCTGAATTTATTAGTGTGTTTGTGTATAAAAGTGTGTGTGTGTGTGTGTGGATGTGTCTGTTTTGCACTCTTGATGTTTTATAGATTCACCCCTTCACTGTTGTGTGCTTTTTTTCTGGATCGTGGCTGATTTGTTGATTGTACGCACAAAACAACTCTGTATTGTCACATTTTTGTCAATTTCCCATTCATTTCCTATGGCGGGTCCATTTGGACCCGAAGACCCTGAGTGTGACCATTTTTTTTACAACCACTTAGACTATTCAAATCCTGTCCCCAATTTTTTTGGGTGTTCATATACCAAGTACCAACAAAGTCACCAAATTTCGGACCATTCCGATCAAGCTATGATTTTACACATTTTTTTATTTAAATTCTTCGGGTCCATTTGGTCCGAAGTACCCCAGAGGGTTAATAAACAGACACAGCATGTTGCAAGAGGAAGACCTTCTCTGATTTACATGTGCAGTTATTTGTGAACACAAACAGTGTTTAAAGTCAGGTATGAACACATTGTTATTCATTGTTGCAATAAAGGTTGAATTATGTTTGATATATGTCTCATTTATTGGATGGATATTTTAAAAAATATATAACAAAATTGTATTTATGTTTGGCCTATATTCTCAAAGGTAGCAAATCCACCTTCATAAATGTACAGTATTTAACCTAGATAATTTCTTCAAATATGCCCACCCAGAGAATGATAGTGACATGAAAATGGTGACACCCTTTTTTGAACTCATCTCCATTTAGTTATCTGTATAAAACATACTGTAGAGTCCTGTCTGTGGGGGCAGCATGAATACAGATAAACAGGTCACAGAGCCTGAAACCAAAAACAACCTTATATCACATTAATTACAGTCATTTTACAGTCTGATTTATACTTTCAAAATATTGACATCTTTTTACGTAACACCACACGCCTCCATTATGGATTTTAGAAAAGACCTAAAGTGGTGCAAAATATTTAAGTACTTCAAATTATAATATTTTGCAGAATTTGTACTTAGAGTTCTGTTAAACCAAATGCTTGTACTTTTACTCAATTACACTTACAAGGACAAAGTACTTTTTCTTTTACTCCATTACATACATGTCATATGAATTCAGGACTTTACTTAATGATTTAAAAAATTAAAAGTAGTATTTTTTTCTACTTTATCCTATAATGTGACTAACAAGCCAATCCACCATGCTCACATAAGTTTAACTTTCCTTTTATTTAAACAGCCAGTGGAATTTTTATTATTGAGTTCATTGAGGACAAAAATACTAAAATGAGAACATCGCTGTCTCTTGTTAAAAGTCAATTTAGAAAGTTAAGTAAATTGTTTACTTTTACTTTAAAATTCTTAAATACACATAATGTGGATCCGTTTTACTTTTAAATTAGCCTACTTTTTATTTTATTTTTGGCTGGGTACTTATACTTTAATACTATACTAATTTAATAAAACGTTTGATAAATTATCTTTACTTTGAGGCCTACAATTTGAGGACTCGGTACATTTTACACCTCTACCTAATAATGATAAAAAAAATCAATAGGATAGCATTTATGTAATGGGTACTAATGCAAATGTATCGTTAGAAAGTGATATGAAAGTGGTAATTAAACTTGGAAATACTGATAACAGCTATTATCATAGTCTTTGACTGTTTTGAGCAAAATTTATACGATACTTAATAGGTATTAACCTTTTTATTCGTGAATTTCTTTTTAATATTTACATGTATTCCTGCGCACGCTCCGCCTTCAGACGTAGTGGGTGGGGTCCAGTGAAATGAACCAATAAGAAAATTCTAACTCGGGTACTGTCTGGTACTGTAGAGCTTTGCCCAATCAGAATTCCATGTGGGCGTGCCTTCCGTACCACGCTTCTCCAACGTCATGCGCATTACTGCCCAATCAGATTTCCCGTGGCGTAGACACCGCCAAGCTCAGTTTTACAGACCCAGAGAGGGAGCAATTTCTACTGTGTGCGCTCCTATTCATTCAGCACTAGACAGTTGAAGGCGTATGCAACCGACCGTAAGTGAAACCAGGGGGGGCTTTGAGTCCACGTACACAGCTTTGACCGATATTTTCTGTATCTATAATTCATCATTGCATAAAGGAGCTGTCATTTATCTGCGTTTGAAAATAAGATAATTTGGCATGCAATAACTGCGTCTGCCAGCCAAACCGGTCTGTAACCTCAGCGTGTATCTTTATGTTATTATACATAATGGATTCCATGATCGTTAGTCTGTTAACCGTTGGTCCGGATTAATTATCACTTATGTGAAAGATCGAAACGGTCTGTCTCAAATGGCTTGTGTTAGCCAACAAGCTAACCCATGTCAAGTGCTTCTGTCAGTACCATGCAATAGGAAATCCGCACTGATCTTCAGTGATGGTTGGCCATTGCACGGAAAAGCACTGGTATACAACACTGGACGTGTAGTAAACAATAGTATGCAGATCCTAGGTTGATTAAATTAAAGAAGCGGAGATGACCTCGATTTGAGTGGAAGTTAGCTTACTAGCTCGCCTGGTCGCTAGCTTAACCTCTTTATCCTATGTTCGCTCTAAAGTGTTTTTGAAATACTTTTGCGAAATGGAACGGTTAGGCTATTGCTAATTGTGCATAACCGTGAGGGGTGTAAGAGAACTAGATTATAAGTAGTTTAGGTCATCATAAGGACCTGTCACATTAGCTAGCAAGCTATTAAAGCATCACTGCATGTTGGCTTTGCTTTAGCTTCCATGTAAAATGGCTGCCAGGCATTAAACCAAAACCACCCTGCTTGTTAAATTAGTTCTGATGACTTGTTAAACAAGTGTGCTCTATTTTGATAGGTTATTTTCCATTTTTGAAGGATTTTCAGTAATCTAAACTCATGCTGTGGTGAAGCAATGAATTCTGTCACCCTCCAGCACTATAGTGTTATGACTGTGTTGCCACATTTAAAGATATCTTTTTTTAATATACTGTGCTTAAGATAAACTGCAGAAACTCTCTATAAAACATTTAGATAATTTTAATTCCTTTTTGAAAGCATGCATGATGATTTCTCAGTTGCCATGCGTCTTTTATGTGCATGCATCTAACATCCGCATCCATTTTGGGTTTTATGAATGTGCCATGATCTTAGAATCAAACATCTCCCAAATGCAAGCTCGTTACAAAAGCATGATCAGTCATTGCTAATGAGATTTTATTTTTCGTATTATTTGATTTATCTTTGTTTCCTGTTTGAGGGATGGGGTTCAGACCTCCTCTTCCTCTGTCCTCTTGCTAACTGGCTATGCCAACAAAAACAGCACCTAAGAAGGCAAAGGGCTTTCAGGACTGTAAGTTCAGAGGAAAGTTTACACACTTCATTTCCAGATGGCCATTTAAGTACGATCCGTTCGCAAAACGGTACGAGCAAATGCACAATATCCGACCTCATCGCATTTAAACAGGTGGGGTACGTTTTGATCACATTTAGAACTGGGTTTCATTCCAAAACGTGTTTGAAAGGCAGCTAGCTAACTGGGCTAACACGCTTTATTATAGTACTTCTCCGAATGTGCATTATGTTTAGAGCGGAAAACATAAACGAATAAAACGGATACTCGTTCTGCTTTGTTTACATGCTTTTTATAACTTAGGACAGTGACCATGAATATTTTCTATATTTTAGGCCCATTGCTTTTGCTAAAAAAGTTACTCAAAACGACAGGAACTGTTGCATATGGATGGTTTTAAAAAAGATTGCATGCGGTTTTTGAGTGCACGTGCTGAAGTTTTGATGTTAAAGCGATGGAAAGATTCGTCGAGGTCTTTGTCTGGTAATATAAGCTGCATGAGTGCTTTGGAAGCAAATCGGCGGGCCTCGTTTTCATCACTTATGGTTGTCTCTCAAACCTAGTGAGCTTCCTACCTAGACCGCATTTTAAATAAGCAAACTTAAACCCTTTTAAGTGAATTGCGTGTCAAAGAATCCAATTGTCTTTGCATTCACACTGTGCCTAGGCTTGAAAGTGGGCTCGAAAGTAGGCTCAAGTCTTATTTTAGTCCACTTTACCTGTGACAGGGTGTCAGTCCATTTCTCATTCTCACTAGCAAGAGTGCTGTTGTGTGGAATATCCGCATACGATCAGAATAGCTGATGATATTCACTACTATAGCATGATTGCAAGTATGATGTTGCTCTTTATACAACAATTCAAGAAACAAATAATTAATATTGACTAACTTGAGGTTTAGACATAATGGGCAGTTTGATGTTCCAAACAAAAATACTAAGAGGTGAGGACCCCCTTATATGATTGTAAAGTACTTTGGGTGTACAGTAGTACCATAGTAAAGCGCAATACAAATGCCTCATTTCAATCCAAAGCATCAAGCTTTGTATGTTTAGTAATATTTAGTTATATTTTAGTAATAACTGATAATAATCATCCATTAAAACATCCTGATGACCCAATGGTGGTTTTCAAACATGCAGAGTGCCAGTGTCACATTTTCTTTGAGTTATTTATTGTGAAAATTTAGCAATTTGGATGATTGCTTGTTCGCAGGGGGTTTAGGCACGAAGACAAAAATGAGGCCTACTGTAAAAAGACCCAGCCACTTCTGTTCATAGATCAAGGAACCACCTAAAACTGTGAGATGTACTTGTTTGAAATCCCATTGATCTTTGCATCTTATGAAATGAAATGTAAACTTTCCTCATTAGTCACTTTCTCTAACAAAGATTTTTGTTGTGTCCTTGGTTACAGTCTTCGATTGTCCTTGGCTCTTTTGCCTAACCAGTTTTCAATTCTGTTGCAGAGTCATTTTGTTGTGGAAAATTGGCTCAGGTTTTTCAGCTAGACCAAGCATCTATTTCCTCAGCCCCAGGGATCATGGCCAAAGATGTGAGTATTCTCTAGCTCTATTAGATGTAATCGACTGAAAATAGTGTGAGTCAATGAGTTTGAATGGTCATCTTCTCCACAGGCTGGTCTGATTGAGGCCAATGGGGAGCTGAAGGTTTTCATTGATCAGAACTTGAGCCCTGGCAAAGGTAAGAGGAACATTAGAAGTTTTTCAAGATAATAGTGCACTGCATCAGCAGTTGAATTTTGATATTCAAGGACGTTTGACCTTACAGTAATGCTTTACAAACACCCAGACACCTGCTTGACCTTATATAGCACTGCATTAAGATGTCTTCTGTGAATACTACCCTTGCAGGTGTGCTGTCTTTAGTAACGGTGCATCCACAGTCATTGACTGTTGGAAAACAGCTTTTGCCAAAAACACTGGGCCCTTCCAACGTAAACATCGCACCACATATGGTAAGATTTAAATGGAGTTTGGTCGCATAAACACTAAAAGGGATAGGCTGGATCACATAGCCGGCATTTACACTGCAGGTCTTGATGCCCAATTTCGATTTGTTGAGTATTTTTTTGACGACCATCTTACATCTTCTTTTAAAAGTGACCCATATCTGATATCTGCATTTACACCATGGTGAAACAACCCAAGGTCTACGTACTGACCCAGTAAAGCTTAGGCCGAATAGGAAGTAAAAATAGCGCGTTTTGCAAATGCAGACGAAATGATAATACAAGTGGTTGCTTTCTCCACCATCTTTAAAGGTCAACAAAACATTGGTCTCTTAAGGTGGAGGAAAAAAGGGCTCTTATTGCAGCCTGGGCATTGAAAAGATTCATGATCACGGTTGGTTCATTCGGCACCATTGCTTTTTCAATGATGTACATTCATTGATGGGAATATCAGATCTGTCCACTTACATGGCAGACACAAATGTACGTATCGGATTCATATTCAGATTTATTTCCTCATATGAATGAGGCCTGAAACCGATCTGAGAATATTGAAATCCATGTGTTTTTTTCGTGGGTAATATCTGATTTGTGCCACATGGGAATTGGGTCACTTGATCCATGTAATGTAAATGCAGCCATTAGCCTTATTCACATCCCATGCAATTCCAGTTTTTTTTCAGGGTTCTCCTGTCTGTCCTCAATGTTATTTAGCCAATGCTCTAATCGGATGTTTGTTCAGGCATTGTGGACAATGTCTAGTTTATCACTTACTGTAGTAATGCCAAGTGCAGGGCTCAAAAATAGTTGATTTAATATATTTCATGTAATGCTTTTCTGTTTGCCCTTTCAATATTTTCACAGGTCCCACCCCAAAAAATAGCACTATATACTATTGTTCAAAAGTTTGGTATCAGTAAGATTTTTTTTAATGTTTCTGAAAGAAGTCTCTTATGCTACCAAAGCTGCATTTATTTGATCAAAAATACATTTAAAAACGGTAATATTGTGAAATTTGATTACAATTTAATAACTAATGTTTTCTAATGTAATATATTTTAAATGTAATTTATTCCTGCCTGTCATGGCAATGCTGAATTTTCAGCAGCCATTCAGAAATCATTCTAAAATGCTGATTTGATGCTCAAGAAACATTTTTATTATTATTATCAGACAGTGTTGAAAACATCTGTGCTTCTTAAAGGGATAGTTCACCCCAAAAAGAAAATTTTGTCATTATTTACTCATCCTCATGTCGTTCCGAACCCGTAAGACTTTCATTAATCTTCGGAACACAAATGAAGATCTTTTTTTATGAACTCTGAGAGCTTTCTGTCCCAAATAACACCTTGACGCTTCAAAAAGTTCATAAAGATATTGTAAAACTAATCCATATGAATTGAGTGGTTTAGTCCAAATTTTCTGAAGAGACCCGATAACTTTACATGACGAACAGGTTTAATTTAAGCTTTTATTCACATATATAAATATTCAAGTTCAAATGAACAGCTCATTATAAATGTCTTTAATGGCACTTTTGATCAATTTAACGTGTCCTTGCAGAATAAGTGTTAATTTCTTTCAGCAAAAAAACAACAACCTGACCCTAAACTTTTGAATGGTAGTGTATATTTAAGGTTCTTAAAATTATGTGCTAGTATATAGCAGTATATATTTTTCACTACAACATTTTACTTGCAGAATAGCCCTTTTACAACTATAATGTTGCTGTTTGACAGCTTTAACCATCATTCATGGCAATTGAGCAGAACATTACTGATTTAATATTCCATCCATTTTAATTTAACCATCATAAGTCATTCTTGCAGTTTCAGCAAAGCAAGGCATAAGACACACACATATATATCTATATATATTTTACGATCAACAAATGTTAGAGCTTTGAAACTAAAAATCCCAGGCATTAGCAAAATAGGACAAGTTGCACTTTCGTCGGCTGGCACAAAACTCTCATTTGGGGCCCTGCCCATCAGGCTATTTTTATTTTTGAGCCCTGCAAGTGACTCTCGTTTACAACAACTATGAGTAGCTAGGCGTCAGAATGGGAAGAGCTAATGGAAAACTGGAAAAGTTCCTTTAACCCTTTTAGTGTTTTACGCATAGCTAGAGTCTCAGACGCTGCTTGCATTGTGCAGGATGCTGAACAATTGCCATCTCCTGAATGAAGAAAGAGAATTACTTGAATTCTGATCTGACAGTTCAGGCTGAAATAGATTTCCAAGAAGGGTTCTGTTTAGTTTACAGTTTTTATTAATCCAGATGGAGCAATTCACAGTAATCAGTGAAGGAGTGAGGTATCTCCTCCTCAGGGATAGGAACAGTTGTGGAATATGTATTCTGTCTGAGCCTGTAGCTTTGTGTTTTCAGCTGCTTTAATATATACAAGGAAGGGATGCAGCTTTCAATTAGGGGACAGAATCAGGGTTTGTCAGATGTCTTCCATGTCAGAGACTGAAACGGGCTTCCCATAACAACTAAAAAATGGATTTAACTCATTTAGAAAAGGGGAATTGTTGGCTCCTTTAACTGACACTTGCTGTTTAGCCACCTGCATATTCACAGCTGCTGTTAATTCCTTGCCATATGTCAGTGAGAATAGGAACTGTGTCATTTGTGTAACCAGCATAAAAAAGAAATACATTAGCTTGCATTTGTCCTAGCTGAATAAATGTTTGCCTTCCTTAACATCAGTGTTAATAACTCTTTTAGTTTAGATTTTCATGATTGTAAAGATGTTTAATATCATACTTCAGTATATAGCATAATTTACTTTTTTTTTTATATTATGTTTGCTGTATTATCTTGTAACCTGATTGTCTCTCTATCACAGCTCATCAGCACACCTCAGAGGCCCAGTGGCTCCAATGTGATCCTAATGAACAGCCCACACACACCCAGCTCTCAGTTTATCACCCAGAGTCAACCATCGGAAGCCTCTCCGTGGTCTTCGGGGTAAGTCAGCATACTACTTTATAACGTTATTGCATTTCTCTTTCTGGAATAGATTTTGTGGTTCCAGGTGCTTTTCTGTCGTTAGCCGCTTTTCTTCTGTAGGGCCAGTGCGACTCAGGTCTAACAACGTTCTGGGAGTAGCCAATACCCTCGGACCTTAAGCACAGAGGCCCAAATCAAGTTGCGTTTCCAATGTCGTGCCAGTAGCCCTGCAGTGCTACCCTAAAACCCGCCCTTAACACGCCTACATAGAATGACGTCACGCAACCCCACCGTTTCACCAGCTGACTGAAAACTAGCTAGATTGCCAAATGAGCGTGACAGAAGCGAACGTTTGGTCTTTAGTTAAAGACTTAAGATTCCAGCATCGCTATTTGACGAATCATTTACAATAAAGCAATCTTGAGGTATTTTCCATGAACGTGTATTTATTATCGCAATGGTTATATGCAATCATATGGTGATCAGAATACCCATCGGATCGAAAGTTATTTCAAACATACGCTGGTGTCTGAAAGTGAGTTTTGAGCTGAAATTTGTTTAAAATATCTTAAATGTTAAAGTTAGCTGGTAGCCTGGTATAATAACATGGGAAATGAGCAGCGGTGTTGAGTCTCTGCTCCACCTTTGTTTATGTCCACTCCTAAGCCCCACTTTGGGCCAGGGTATTCGGCGGGCCATAAACCCCTGGCCTTTGGCCCCGGGGAAGCCCTGATGAGGCTCAATCAAGCCCCAGAAGTGACTGAAACGTGACTGGCCCTCGCACTAGCACACTCGCTTTTTGACCCGACAGTGGAAACGCCTCTTGATTTCTTTGGATTTGTCTTTAAAAAGAGTTAAATGGTCTGTGGTGGTCGCCTATAAAAAAAAACGACAATCCACATGTACACAGTTGATTACATAATTGCAATTAATTATAATAATAATAAATTGTATTTGTAAGGGGCTTTTCTTATACTCAAAGCACTATGCAAGAAAAAATGCAACTAGTTAAAATAAACAAGTTGATAAAATTAACTTAGAATTATTATTATAATAATATAAAAATATAACCGTTTTTACAGTTTGTTTTCATGGGATTAATCAATAATATAAAAACTATTATTTGGCTATAAGTTCGCCTTATATTTAAAATCATAGAGAGAAAAATATTTGCTTTCCTAGAAGTACCATGGTACCACTACAGAACTTTTTTTTTTATAATGGAAATTCCTACAAAGCAGCAGCAAACCATTTTTTTTTATTTTTTTTTTAATCATGATGTTAAATATCATGCAATAATTTGGTTTTTGTCTGGCTTTTCTTCAGGAAGAGGGGTAAGAAGGGGGAGAAGAATGGGAAAGGCCTCAGACATTTCTCCATGAAGGTTTGTGAGAAGGTCCAGCGGAAGGGTGTCACAACCTACAATGAGGTTGCTGATGAGCTTGTGGCTGAGTTCAGCTCTGGTGATAATCATATCTCCCCTAATGATGCGGTAAGCCTCTTCCTGTGGCCAGACATTGATCCACGACTTTGTTTGTTGAGTGCAGAAGAAGTGCAGCTTTTTAAACCGATTAAAGAGTTGCTTTTTCACATACATCCCATAATGAATAGTGCTTCACTTTCTGTGTTTGTTTCTTCTCAGCATGTGTATGACCAAAAGAACATTCGACGGCGTGTGTACGATGCGCTCAATGTGCTGATGGCCATGAACATCATCTCCAAAGAGAAAAAAGAGATCAAATGGATTGGCCTGCCCACAAACTCTGCTCAGGAGTGCCAGAACCTGGAGGTGGGTGCACTGGTCCTTTATTTCACTAACCTTTTTTGAGATTTCCTATTAGACAATTAGTAGGGCAACTACAGTAGTCAACATTTGGAGTGGATCAAAACCTTTCCTCAAAGTTGTACGTGAATTTTGAACAATACCCTGTTCTTGTCTGAGGACAACTTTGATGAACTTTTTTGACACAGTAGTCAACATTTGAAGTGGAGTTTAAACTGATTGTGTTTTTTAAGGTGGAGAGGCAAAGACGTTTGGAGAGAATCAAACAAAAACAGTCGCAACTTCAAGAACTTATTTTACAGGTCAGAAGTTGCTCTTTTGTTTTATAAGAATTATTTAATGTTGATGATGAACATTTGAAAAGTAATATATTGTTTCAATTGCAGCAAATTGCCTTCAAGAACCTTGTACAGCGGAACCGCCAGAGAGAACAACAGACGAAAAGACCCCCACCCGCCAACTCGGTCATTCACCTGCCCTTTATCATCGTCAACACCAGCAAGAAAACAGTCATTGACTGCAGCATCTCCAATGACAAGTATGATCTCAAAAGCCAACCTTGTGGGCTGTTGGTGGCATGTCTGGCAAATCAAAGATCCTCACTTCACACACCTTTTCTCATTACTTCCATTTGTGGTCAGGTTTGAGTACCTCTTCAACTTTGATAGCATGTTCGAGATTCACGATGACATTGAGGTTTTGAAGCGCATGGGCATGGCTTGTGGTCTCGAGGTGGGTAAGTGCTCCGCTGAGGACCTGAAGACTGCCAGGAGCTTGGTCCCCAAAGCACTGGAGCCCTACGTCACAGGTTAGTGCCAGTTGGCCACCCCATCGAAGTTTATGTGATCAAAAGATCAAATGTTTAATTTAATACTTACTTTTTTGCATGCAGAAATGGCACAGGGGCCTATCAGTAATGTCTACATGACAGGGGCTTCATCTGCTAACGGAGGCCGCTTTCATGTTGGGAGGTGAGTTTCTGTTGTGCCCCTTTTAGTTGTTCATTAATAAAATGGATGGAAGTTGGAAGCAAGAGTAGTTATTGAGTTAGGTTACACAATGATAGTTTCCAGTCATTCACTACCATTCAAAACTTTGGGCTCGCTAAGATTTAAAAAAAAAAAGTCATGTTTATTCAGCAGTGATACAATAAATTGTTCATAAGTAGATGATCTATTTAAAATTAATGCTATTCTTTTGAACTTATTAATCAAAGAATCTGGGAAAAAAACTGATTTATAAGAAATGTTTCCTTAACACCAAATAAGCATATTAGAATTCTGCAGGATCATGTGGCATTAAAGACTACAGTAATGGCTGCTGAAAATGCAGCTTTGCCATTTTTTTTAATGTATAAAAAATATAAAGCAGTTATTTTAAACTAGTAATATTTCACAATATTAATCTTTTTTTGTGCTTTTGTACAAATACAAGACTTCAAAAACATTTAAAAAATCTTACTAACCCCAAGCTTTTGAATGGTAGTGTACCTGTACAATATAGTGACCACTGTGCACTATTTAACCTTAGGCCATAACCTGGGATGCTTTGACAATTCTTCAAAGCAAGTTGAGTTCAATTAAATTGATGTTTTCTACTTGAGATGATGATAAATATAGTTCTGGTATTACTTTTGACTGTCTGGTTAATTAACAGTGAGGGGAAATGGTTCTAATACCAATCTCTTATATCCTTTTGACCTACAAATCGTACAATCTGAGGGTTCACTGATCAGGAATTAAATTTTCAAGTAGTTCACCCAAACATGCTCTTTTATTTTTCATACAATAGTGAACTGAGGCGGACACTTTGAAGCTCCAAAAATCTTAGGGTACCTTAAAAGTAGTCCATAATAGTTAAAATGCACTTTATTCTTCTATCTGATTGCCATCTGATAACTTTGTATGAGGAATGGATGTGGAGGGGAATATGTGGAATAGATTAAGTCAATAATGGCTTCAATTTTGGCCACAAAGCTATCAAAAGACTTGGAATATAGCAAGCATGCTCTACTATGGACTCATGTGGGTTTTTTTTTTTTGATTTGTGGAGTTTGACTGTCCGTCTGTCCCTGTTCACTTTCTTTATATGGATAAGAGCATCAACATTCAGCTAAATTTCTCTTTTGTGTAATAGGGCTGGGCGGTATGTTAAGTTTGTACGATATATCGATATATATTTTTGAAACGATATGGAATGAGGCAATACCGTTTATATCGATACAGTAGTTTGATACGAGCACATCTGAAAAATAGCGGAGGACGCAGTTTGAGCTGCTGCAGTGAAAGTACATAGTACAATTTGTCCTAAACATGTTAAATTAAGGGCTTCAAAATAACTGGTAAGATATAGTTAACAAGTTTAAAGCAGCTTGTCCTGTCAGATGCTCTGACAGATTCTGTTGCTGACTGACAGATAAATACTTGCGCTGTTTAATGCGTTTGAGATGTGGTGCTTTCCTCAGTGCCTAACTTACATTTCACAGGTATATTCTTCATCTGTAAATGTTAGAAAGTCAAACAAATATGTCCATTTCACTGTCAGGAGAGGACGAGCCTTCTGCAAGTGAATCTCCGCTAAAATTCAAGCTTCCGTGAATAAGCTCCGCCGCACGCATGCGCGCCAAACAGACGGAGCACAATAGAATAGTAGCGCAATAATTCTGTCTAAAATAAACATATTGCTAAAATGTTTGTTGTTGGAGACAATATATGTGCCACATGTGGAATTTTAAACCAAGTATATTTTTATGAAAGTGACCATTATAATGGGGTAATCAAATGCACGCTAATATAATTAGTTTGTGCTTTTGTTTTTATTTTCATTTTTAGTTTAGCCTTTAGTCAATTTAAAAACAAAAGCATCATTTTTAGCATTTTGTTTTTAGATTGTAATGTTAGAATGCAATAAAGCAATAAGCCCCGCGAAGCCGTGTTTTACTGTGAATTTAGAATGGCTAAGGGGCGTTGTTAGGTTCTAGATTCACTGTAAAACACGGCTTTGCGGGGCTTATTGCTTTTATAAAATGGTTACTCCATAAAAATATTCATTTTAATATTTATTTTATTCATAAAATGACTAACACATTTATTCCTCCGCCAAGCAATGTAGTTCCAAAGAGGTTGCCAAGCAAGCAACACATGCAGCAAAAAAGAATCACAAACGGCAGTTGCGCAGTAATACCAAAGTCCTTTTAGGCAAGTCATGCCACTCGGCCGCCATCTTGGCAACGCCTCCGGGCAGCTATTTCGGACTAACAAGACCAGGCTCCTATCTAAATGAATGGGCAGAGAGTCAGAACTGCACTTTCACTGGTCACCGGGACATAAAAACTGCATGTATAGAAACAGCAGTAAAATATGATAAAAATCGCTGAAAAGGTTTGATTACTTTGCCTCAAAATAAGGTTTAAAACGTCTTTTTCCCCACAGGTTATACTTTTACTACGCATACGCAAGGGTTCACGACACCAACTTCATTTACGTCTCTATCCAGAATGCTCTACAGCACATACTTAGAATGTAAGGTAACATATTTGTGGTCGATTTAAAATGTTTACTACTGTAACAAGGTTCAGATGTTATGGGAAGGAGGCGGGAACCGGCGAACATTCAACCATTTTAAAAAATAAACAAATACAAAAATGTAAGTATGCCAGTAGCCCCGAACGACTGCTGGCCACACAAAACACAACATAAAATCAGGCATGTTCCTCTCTTGATCTCCACTGTCGTCGCTCCTCCTTTTATGCTTCCACTCCTCCGTCAGTAATCACGCCATCGGCCTCGTGCCGCTCTCTCACGGCCCTCGTCCTGCTCGCCACAACTACCTTGGTAGTCAGGTGCCTTCGCGTTGTTATCACCCTCTTCCATGTGGATTCCATCTGATCTTGCACACAACACCATAGCACAACACAACTCGCTGTCGCCAAATCGTCTCCGCTGTCGCAAACCTCAACTGTGTGCATGCGTCAGTGGAACCAGACGATAGGCTTAAATGTTTCCCGGCTTGACTGTTAAAAGCAGACGATTGGCTTTCCAGCGGGAGGGGCGGTACATGTGCATACAACCGCCATCTTTGATATTACGGGTTTTCCCTATATAATTGTATTGAGGATTGAGGAAGTGGCATGTCTCTATATAAATTGTCTCTGGTAATACTAATGTAATGTGGTCACAGGTGTATGTTTGAGTAATTTCCAACGACAACGATTTCCAACAACCAATCAGAATCAAGGACCGGAACTATCCGTTTTATAATGTGATTTTAACCACCTTTTTGCACATAATATATTGCATAGCCTACATAACATTCACTATATTTGTAAATTGTTTCCATATCCTTCAATATCAACATTGTTTGTAGGATATCATTGGGCAGGATGTGAAATATTTTTTTTTTTAATAAATACAGATTTTCTTTATCCAAATACAAAAACGTATAAAGTACCGAGATATATATCGTATATCACCATTTAACCAAAAAATACCGAGATATGATTTTTTTGGCCATATCGCCCAGCCCTATTTTGTAAGTCAGTCATACGATTTTGTATTGACACAAGGGAGATTTAAATAACTAATTTTGGTGAACTTTCCCTTTTAAAAGAGTTAGTCTATGTGTCTTGTTTTTCATCATGTTTCCCTTTCATCCGTTTCTCTGACAGTGACGGTGGGGCAGACGGCACGATGGCCTCAAGTTCTAACGACTCCCACTACAGCGGCTCTCGGGTCGAGACCCCCGTCTCTTACATGGGCGAGGATGATGAGGACGATGACGAATTTGACGAAAACGATGACGAGGACTAAGCGCAGCCCTCATTCAACCTGTCCATCATGCACAAGTTCTTCCAGCTGCCATATCCGAGGATTGATCAACCACATCGTTCTTTTTACTCTTCTGCAACTCACCATTTCCTTCACTCTCTGTCTGAGAAGGGCATTGAAGAACACAGGCTTTAATGGGATGAGTTGTTTTTATCCTCGTCTTTCTGAGCTCAGGACAAGCACATCATCCTAGGCTGTGTGTTTTGCCTGCTGGGAATGATAGTTTTCAGCTGAAGGACTTTGCTGAAGTTTAGAGGTGTCACTTTATTCCCTGTTGCAGCGCTCCTACTGGATGTTATCCGCTCTGTTCTGCGTGACCCTCTGAAACCTTCCCTCCTGAAGAAAACCCCTCTTGCGTACAGCCTTGCGTGCTGTTGAAAAATGTTGTGTGGATCTCTGTGTGAAGTAGTTCTCTTCTGTTTTTGAATGATCTTTTTTTTTTGTGCTGGCTTGATTCGCATTCTGATGATTCGGAGACTAATGAATCGAAGAACCTACAAAGCCGGCTGCTATTTTTTTGCCCCATGGAGGGCAGGTCTTTGGATGTGAACTCTTTTTTCGTATGCTGACCTGATAATTTCTTGCAGGCTTTTTTTGTAGAATCTCCTCCCGTGTGTGTTCGGCTCCTTGGCGTTCTGCAGAGCGCTACTTTTTTGGAGGACTCTGAGAAGTCAGTCGTTTTGTTTGTTTTCTTTTGGTTTCCGAACTTCATAGGCCAACCTGTCCTAGAGACACCGGAGAAACTTCAGTACCTTAAAGCAGTTATAGGAATATAAAAATGCTTTGTTTCTTAACCACATGATATCAAGATTCGTTTCTCAGTAATACCTTGAAGCGTGTACGATTATTGTTGTGTATTAAAAAGATATGGTCTTTAGGTTTCTCTGGACTTCCCTTTGAAAATTTCCTTTAAAAAACGGAATCCTTGTACTGACTCCTCAAAGTAACTTTTCTGTAATCTAATATAAGTTTCAAATTTAAATATAAAGAATGTTTTAAGAATTCAAACTCATTGTGTTTATTTGCGACACTAATGTAATACTACTAATTTCAATAAACTTTATTTTATATATGTGCCTAGTGTGACTAGATTTGCATTCAGGAATTTGACATGGCATAACATTTTCTAATTCATTGCTGTTTATATGACCTCATTGTATTTGAGTATTTGTACTTTTAGCATTCACTTGCCACACCACAGCACATAAAAACGGTGACAATATCAGGGAATGTTAAAGGTGCAGTGTGTAACATTTTTGAGTATCTATTAACAGAAATGCAATATGACATCCATAACTATGTGTTCAGTGGTGTATAAAGTAGGGCTGCAACAACTAATCGATAAAATCGATTATAATCGATTATGAAAATCGTTGTCAACGAATGTCATTATCGATTAGTTGGTCTGCTTACGTCACGGGGAGCGTTTACTGGTGATTGGTTGAAACAGGCCAATCATGATGCGGCACACACCGCTCTGTCCGCTCTGTCGTGCGCGCGTGCGCTACACGGTTTGGAGTCTCTTCTGTCTCGCGTGCCGCTCTTGCTCGCACGCTCTAGATTCAGAGAATTTGAACCTGGTTTGAACTAATTTGCGGGAATCAGGGAGCCGCTATCGATATGCGGGAGAATCCCGGAACTTCCGGGAGACTTGGGATGTCTGTTGTCTCGAGCATCAAGTTGCGCAATCAGTTCGCTCGCAACATAAGTGATGGATTAAAATAGCGCTACCGCAGAAATCAGGTTATTAAAACGGTGTTTACAACGTGAAGCACTAAATAAGGCAGTTATTAACAGCAGCAGTAAAAGATTTTTTAGTCACTGTAGTCAGTGGTTTTCAGCGAATGCTTGTGCACTAATGCATAATTTTTCCTGTCCTTTTAATCAAGCCTGTTAGCTTGCTGTGTACCTCCATTCCATTCTCTTTTTATAGCATTTGTCTATTATTAAGTTTTAATTGTTTTACAAACGCGATCTACTGCGGCTCTACTACGTTCACACGCTTGTTTTCAGTCTTTCTATATTTATTTGATCAATTTATCCTTATAATTAATTGAATCTTAAATAAAAATTAAATGAATTATATATTTTTGATGTTTTTGGTTTATATCTTCACATCTGAACAACATGTCTGTGTAAATTTGTTTTTAACAAAAATGATGTTAAAGCATAATATGTTGTATATAATTTAGATTTTTTTTTTTTTACATGAATCATGGTTGTCAACTTGCCATCAGCAATTATCATTAAAGTCCCTGTAAAGGCAATTTCAAAAAAAAAATTCTAAACACATTATAAATGTTAGAAATGTATTGCTAAAACATATTACAAAGACTGTGAACTGTGAAGTACTGAATTGTGGAGTTAGATCGTTAAAAGTTTTTCACCATTGCTATTTTCCGGATTTTCTGGGCGGGGCTAAAACAGGGCTCGATGACGCACTGGAGCCCCTGAGCTCCTGGACACGCCCCTACTTGATGACGCACTGAGGCCACTGAGGCTGGCCGCTCCTAACAATATTATAGAGCACATTCACATCAGTTTGCCGCTCAATCGCGAGTTACTGTCAGTACTATTATTTAGTGATGGCCAAATGAAGCTTTTGTGAAGCACTGAACCACTTGAGCCAATTGGTTCGAAAATGGGTTCATTACTCGAAGCTTCAGTTGCAGCGACCTCTCCTGGTGAAAAGCAAGGCTGCAGTCAAATTAATCAGTGAGCAGTATTGGAGAAACTACTTTAGTTCTGAAGCATCTTTGCTAAGATCACCCTTGGATTTTTAACTATATTTCCTTTGAAAACTCTTTGATGCACATGTAACCCTAGTAATGATACCCACTATATTACAGCTAGGGTCTGGGTAAGTATTCGTTTCACTCTTATGATTACCTATAATAATCACATGTATTCCATTCCCTTCAGCAGCAATAAATACTATTGAATCAAAACTTGTCTTTCGAGTTTTTTTTATGTTTTTGAATGTGAAATGTAATAAAGTAAAATATGAAAATTCAAAACATTCTTTTTAAATAAAATGAAATGTTAAATTAAATAAGTTTAAAGGATTTACAATTTCAGAAAATAAACTAAACACTTATCTCCTAAGTGTTAAACACTCTCAAAAGTATAAATGTTTAACTCAATCACACAGTATTCAAATAGGTATACTCAATGAATTATTCAGTAATATAATTCAAAACTCACTTAAATGGGACCACATTCATGCTCTCATTCACACACACACTCTACGTTGCAGGCCTGATGTTTTCCCGAACACGATGTGTCCTGCGATATGACGATGTCGATGACAGTGCGCGTGAGCGGCTGTCACACTCTCCCGCGGTGCAACCCTATGGATGCAACAGAGGAACTCCGGGCTTTTCCGGTCACCCGGAGCGCTATCTGTTGTGACGGCCTATCCCTCGTTGCCAGAGGAACTCCGGGCTTTTCCGGTCACCCGGAGCGCTATCTGGTTCGCCTCCCGAATGTGATCGGCTCGGTGCTCACGCGAATCACCTCACGAGCGCATGGAGTGAAATCCAGGACGAGTATCACAAATATTTGCTAAATAAAGTTCTTATTAGCAAAGCAACAAAACTAATGACTGATTAAGTCTGTATTTACGGGACTATCGTGTGAAAATACCAATACCTAGCCCTCACAACTCCCTTCTCCTCGTCCAACTCGTCTCCCTTCTCCTCGTCTTCTCCTCCTTCCCCCCTCCTCCAGCCACGCCCTTCCTCTCGTCAATAGCGTCATACGTGAGTACGTAAACAAGATATTAAACATTAAATAATATTATATATAATTATATAACTATATACATACAAATGAAAACACTGTAAAGGCACAGAATAAATAAAATATACAGATACAATGTAAATAAACATATTACTTAATTTAGTGTCTTTAGACTCACCGGACTACACCCTCCCCCTTCTAAATGTTTGAGGTCCTCATCAAACTTTTGGGACTTTACAGGTGTTTAATTCTTTTTCTCTCAGGTACTCTACTGCATTTAGGGCAAGTAGCAAGAGGGTGGCACCACACAGTGTTACAATTACTTCTCCTACCCTCTGCAACAAAACTGCAGTGCACTGGCATACCGCGGGTAATGGTATATATTGGGCGGTTTGTAGATTTACCTAACTCATCATAACTGAGTTTTACTACAGGCTTTATTTCTCTTTTAGACCTAATTTCGCTATTGGGCTCCAGACCATTTGGATTATTTTCACCGTCAGGTTCTTCAGGAAAAGGTAAGTTATTCCCTTCTACCACTGGAGTGTTAGGTCTTTCAACTTCTTGTGTTGTTTCATCATCCTGTCTTTCCCTTTCCAGAGTATCACTCATCCTCTTTGGCTCAGAATATTCAACAAAGTGTATTACGTTTCCCTCACTGTTGACACTTTTTGTTTCACTCTCTACAGGAACAGACACTCTTCTTTCCTGTAGAACAGACCTCAGATTCTGGGACTCTGGTAATCTTCGAAGTTCTTCCAGACTTTCCAAAGGTATGTATGCATCAACATTCTCACAATCTGAAGATAACTCATCCTCTTCATTCCTTCCCTCAACAGGTACATCAGTTGTTCCTGCTTCATGTAGAGGAATTTGTCGATGAGCCTGGGACCTTGTCACTGGTCTCTGAGGTACTTTCTTTCCCTCTGTCTCTTTTGGCATTCTCACTAGGTATCCAATAGGCAGAAGATGATTTCTGTGCAGTGTCTTGACAGTTCCCTTACCTTTCTCGGGTTTTACACGGTAGACAGGTAAGTTTGGCATCTTACTGACAACCACATACGGTAAGGAACTCCATTTGTTTCCCAGTTTGTCCTTTCCTGCAACTCCTAGATTTCTTATTAGAACTCGATCTCCTTCTTCAAGTATTTGATCTCGAACTCTCTTATCATGAAGTCTTTTGTTCTTTTGGTGGCTCTTGTCTGCAGCATCTGAAGCTACTTGGTAGGCCCTTTTTAGGTCTGACCTTAGCTTAGATACATATTGCCGGTAATTTTCTGCTTCGTCTTCAGATAAGACAGAGAAACAGAGATCAATTGGGAGTCTTGCTTCTCGTCCAAACATGAGAACATAGGGGGAATATCCGGTTGCGTCGTTTCTAGTACAATTATAAGCATGTACTAGTTGACTGACATGCTGACTCCACTTTTGCTTCTGAGACTTGTCAAGAGTTCCAAGCATCGACAGCAAAGTTCTGTTGAACCGTTCTGGCTGCGGATCCCCTTGAGGATGATATGGGGTCGTTCTTGACTTTTGAATCCCCAACATCTTCAGCAACTCATGGATTAACTTGCTTTCGAAGTCTCGTCCCTGATCCGAATGTATACGTGCCGGTAATCCGTAATGAACAAAATACCTTTCACATAACACCTTGGCAACAGTGAGAGCTTTTTGGTCTTTTGTCGGAAAAGCTTG